CGCCCTCTGCTGTCCCCCCGAGTGCTCCTCCAGCTGCTGGGAGCCCATCATGGTGTGAGTCTTCCCACTTCCTGTCTGCCCGTACGCCATGATACACACATTGTAGCTGCAGGGCAGGAGATGACATTCAGGACATGCAGTCACATTATGCCGTTTGTCACATTTTTAATTGTTTGTTCTTCATCCCCGCAGGGTGGTTCTTCAATTAATATAGCTGAATGAACATTTGAATGGCATGTGATTTGACATAGCCTTTTTTTTAATGCTTCCGTACTCACCCGTCCAACAGAGATGTGAGGAGCGGCTTGACTTCCTCGAACACTGCATCCTGGGATTCCTCTGGTCCATGCACTCTGGAAGAAACACAGAGGAATCATTGATACTTTTGAAACTAGAGTAATTGCGCCATGACGGTGTTTGTTTTTACCTCTCAAACTCATACATCTTGTTATGCACTGGCATTCCAGGTTTTATGCAATTCACCATCACTGTGTCCTAAAAACAACAAATGGGGCAAAACAAAAATAGGGTGAGGACACTGAGGCTGCTAGCGGCAATTAAATATTATAAATGTTAAGAAAATGTAAAACTCACATCACTGACTGTAGATACCACTTCTTCTGATAATGCAGGCCTGACAGAAAAAAACAACACATATATTTGATATTTTTAGCTTTTCAAGTGCAAAAAAACTCTTAATGATCATAAAGTATTTCATATTGTCATGATGGATCCTGTAATGCCCCACCACGATCCAGGGGTGGAAGACGGGACGTGGTCAAAGGGTAAAACTGGTCGCACCCTGCAGTGAACCCTGATGTTGCCTCTCAGCTCCTGTACATATTTAACAATAACAACAAAGCAACACATCAGATATGCTGTAGGTTTCTATGAACCCAGACTATAACCCATTATCTTCAGACAATAATCTGTGCTCACCACCAGGGTGTTATGGAGCTCTTTCCTCCTCTGCCTCTCCGCCCGGCACCTCTCCCGCTCCTCCTCCAGAGAGCGCTCTAGAGCTGAGACCACAGCTTGTAAATCTGGTCATGGAGAGCAGAGAGATAAATTAGAGAAAAGAGGTTCAAGCTTATTATTGTGTTAATTTTGATACAACAAACACATAAGGAAAAGGCAGACCATCTGTTGTCTGGTTTAAATCTTTGAACTCAGGCCAGGTCTATAATCCTGGAGCACACATGTTAGTGCTGTTAACCCGGCACTAAACTACTCCATTCACTCAGACGGGTTGAGACCTTCATGGATAGCCTTAGTTGAACGAAAATATAACAAAATGTTCCTTTTTCTCTTTAAAGATGATTTCAAGTGCAAATTATTCAAAAATAAATGATCCCCAAAACAGCAATAAAAGTTTTTTTTTTATTCTAAATGAAAATGTCTGTACTTAAAGGCCTTCAGAATCTTAAACGTAAACCTCTAATCTGATTATTTATAGATTTATTTGTTGGCATTTTCCCTTAAAAACGTCTTTTTTAAGTGCCTTGGTTTTATTGCTGCATCCAAATTCATAGTTTCCTAATCATATGAGTCTACAACATGTACATTTTTAATAATAAGATAGTTATTACTTAAATACATTTTATTTGCTAGGTTTTTGGAATGATACATATATTTCAGATTGATCCCTTTATAAATCTTGAATTAGAAGTCAAAGAACAATTACAGCCCTACAATATATAAAAATAATGATTAGCAAAGTAGCAAATAAATTGCAAAATAAATGTAATGTAAGAGAAATCTCCAAATAGTTGAGTACTATTGAGTTGAGTACTCTTTAATTAGTGCAGGTAAGTAGGTGAAGTTTGCAGCATTTTGCACAGCATGTTCTCAGGGAGATCAGTTGTCACAAATCTTCAGAGCCATGGTGAGTAGCTGACTTGTGGGACTGAATTAAAGCAAGAAAGTGAACCCGGGATAACCTCGCAGGGCGGGGTGAGAGAGAAGAGGGGAGGGGCAGTGTGAGAGGATTATCAGCAGCCTGATCAAGAAACAGCCAGCACAGAACATGTAAACCACTTTAGAGTAGTGAGAAACACAGAGAGGAGGAATGAGTTGGCAAAACAAAAAGCATTAATAAAAGTGGAAGGTAGAAAATGTCAGACCAGAAGGGAGGCATAAAAATGTTTCTTAATAAAATATTCAACGAATGGTAAATTAACTTCTGACGGTTTGAAACCTCCCCTGTGATTTACATTATGACTTCTACACACAGTCCCCTCAGCTATAATAGCTTGTTGGTATAAATTCAAAATGGCAGAAACAAGAAAATGCCAACATGGTATACGTGCTACAACACTATACCCTTCTAGGAGGAGAGCATGTGGCGGCAAAATGTACGTATTCTTGCCCTGATTTATTTTATTAATTGTTTTAATATAATTCATGCGTGTATTGACCAAGTAGCAGAACTTAAAATGCCGCCAATATTTATTTATTAGCAGGCCTTACACATTGACCCTTTGAATTTGAATCTATCATAGGTTAATGTCAGAGTGCCTTGAAAAGCTGCTCTTCTTAAAGCTGCATGCTCACTCCAGCTCACAGCACCCAGGCTCCACCATAACTTTAAAAAGAAAATGGCCAAAATGGTGCCGAACAGTAAACCTAGAAGTCAATAAAAAAAACAATTTGCTAAGGAAAATGGGGTAAAAGATGCTGCATTTCTGATCAATTGTTATGCTACACACTGAGACACTTACCCTGAACCTCGTCTCCACGGTCACCCTTTAGAGAACAGCTGGCCTGCTGTACTTTGTCCAGCAGCTGCTTGCTCTGCTCTTCCAGCTCAGTGGAAAAACTCAAATACACTGCGAAAAGTTCACTCAAGTCCTGCTTCACGGCCTGCAACCAACACAGAGAGGAGACATGAAGTGTGAAGGGCAGTGCGGATGTGTGTGTGTGAGTGAGTGAGTGAGTGAGTGAGTGAGTGAGTGAGTGAGTGAGTGAGTGAGTGAGTGAGTGTGTGTGTGTGTGCGTGCGTGCGTGCGTGCGTGCCTGTGTGTGTGTGTTTCTCTTTTGTTTGTGTGTCTTTCTAAGTTCCTAAATGACTTTCCTTTCTTGCCTTTGGATGGTATTTAGTGAAACATTTCAAAAGATCAGATAAAAAAACTATTAACCAGCTACCATGTGCACAAAGACATTCTGGTGCATGTGTACCTGGACCTCAGAGAGGAGTTTGGCGAGGGCTGACCGGGTGATCTTCTGAGCGTTCCTCTGCTGCAGATGATGCTTCTGGGCCTTGGTCTCCTTTTCATGGTCTCGACGGAGCTTCCCCAGACACTAAAGGATACGACATCAACATACTTATTCTGCACCGCTGTACCATTTTATACTCACGTTATGCCAAGCAACAGCTCAACTGGCAGTTACAGCTACATTAAATAACCCCCCTTGTATCATGCTTGTTCAAATTTAACAGCATTTTAATACAACACACGTCTTCGAGAGACTTGTTGGTCAACTGTTGTTGATAACTTATTAAGCAACACGTTTACCCTAATAGATGTAAAAGTGGCATACGTTGGCAAAATGTTGAGGTTGAGGGAACTATGTGTTTCCCAAAACCCACAGTAAAAGCTCTGGTGCTAAATGATCGCATTCCGTTTCAATTATCAGTGAAAGATGAATAAATAAACAGCATTGGAAGAGAACATGTTAAATGCTGGAAAACAAAAGATACTCTTCTCAGAGAGCTTATTTTAAACAGTTTTCATTACATTGCACATTTGTAAGTATTATGTAATTATTTGTAAGGTCTATAAAACCCAATAAAACATGTTAGGCTACTTTAGGTAATACTAGTTGCCTGTTTACAACTAGTTTGAGTTGAAAGGTTCAAATTGAGCATGTGAAGGGACAGTCTACCGGGATTATTTTTGGTATCCATATTCTCCTTTTATAACAGAGACATACTGTACAATACAAAGTTACACCTGAATTCAATGGCAGTGAGATAAAAGATAAAATACATAATGTATTTCAATCATGCTATTAAAGAAAATACTGTAACAGTGATCTGGGATTCCCTTAGGCCTAAAAGGTTTAAGCCTGTAAGTAATGATGGCAGGAGTCTTCTTACCTCGGCAAGTCTTAAATGAAGAATAGCATTCTCTGTCTCCAGTTCCAGTATTCGTTCCTCTTTACTCTAAAAACACAAAGACATAACACACACTCTTGGTTTTGTGCGTAGGCTACTAAATGGAAAACAATCAATGCATACACCTCAAATCCATTAACAATCTCAGATCATAAATCTCACATTTGGCATGACACTCTAGCAGTGATTTACCCTCAGTTTGTGCTCCAGCAGGTGTACCTGATGTGCAAATATTTGGTCCCGGTTTATAAAGAGAGGCATTTTTCCTAAATGAAACGGAGCTACTAGAGAAGAAAATTCATGGCGTCGTTCCTTTTCTCTCTCAGCTGATCAAACCGTGTCCTCTCAGGTCCTTTAATCCGATTAGCAACTCTCTCACTAGCACACACACTTTTCTGCTTCGTAGCGGAGACAGAAGACAGTTTTCGGTCGCTGTTCCTATAGCCATTAGTACTTCCAATACTACTGGCATAAAACATACTTGTTTATTCCAGATCATGTATATTTAATATATCATGAATAACACTTCACTTTCTACTTGTTTTGCACTTTTGGTAGAACGCTAACTGCATATCGCTGTCATAGTGCAATGACAATAAAGTTGAATCAAATCTAATTTGTTCATGTATAACGTCATATTATATGATATTTGTGTGTCTTATAAGAGCGAAATAGAGTTAATAACTATCACTTTAGTTTCACTAATTCAAAGGGGCTGCTGCTGCTGCTGCTGAAACCCCCCATTATTTTGTTCTCCTGGGACTTTGTCAGAATAGCGTCAAATAGCATAGTTTAAACTTTAGGTCACTATTAGCACAGGTGACATTAATTAGCCTGACCGTTATGGCCGTGTTACACATATAGGGGGCAGCACCGCCTTCAAGGAGGAGTGATGTGTCAAAATGAAGAAGAAGGAAACACTTCCGTACAGTCAGTCTAAGGCTCTCTGAAGTAGCTAGATTCAGCCAGAAAATGACTAAAATTAAAGACAAAAGACGCGAGAAAACCAGTGTCGCCACTGAGGTAAGACGGTGAAAGACGCGTTTTTCTCCTCCAGCTTGCTGGATAGGGGGTTAGCATTTTAGTTCGTGCCTCCTTCTGCATCCTCACATCTCTAATATGCACACATTCAATTCATTTAGTGTCTGCATTTGGTCAATAGTGCAAAGTAACTAAAGTAGATTTACTCAAGTACTTGTACAAGTTTGAGGTACTTGTACTTTACGTGACTATTTTAATGATATGGTACTTTGAGGTAAATTGTGCACTTTTACTCCACCTCATTTAAATACCTTTAGTTACTTTGTAGATTTGGATTAGTAATATGAAATATAATCAACACTTAAATAGGACTTGAGTTACACCTGAATTAACATTCACAATCTACCCTGCAGTAGGCCTATACAAAAACGAGTTGCACCTTTACCAGCTGTGATAACATCACTAATTATATTTAAAACATATCAAGTGTATATCATTTTGAAATGGACCAATCTGCAGAATGAGTCCTTTTACTTTTGTTACTTTAAGTATCTTTTGATGCTAATGCTTTTGTACTGTTACTTGAGTAACATTTTGATTGCAGGACTTTTACTTGTAACAGAGCATTACTACACTCTGGTTCTTCTACGCTTACAACACTGGGTACAAGAGTACTTCTTACGCCGGCCTCTGTTCATGGTGAAGTATTTTCAATCCAACCAATCTTAACTAAACTCACTATTATCTCTGACCTGTAAATATTCTAGATAGACCGTTTGGAGGAGCGGCGAACGCGATGCAAAGACAACCTGGACAGGGTTGAGTTCAGGAGCAGAAAGGAGAAGCTCTCTGAGAAGGACAGGTGAGGATGATGATGGTGGTCATAGAGATGTTAAAACGTACTTTCAGAGATGAAACCTAACTTGAATTTATACAGTTGTTCCCTATAAGGCTTGTCCATGACGTGAAAACCCTCCTTATGGTGCTGTTTCTCTCTCTCTCTCACCCTCACTGCTCCATAGGCAGGACCTGGAAGATGAAATGACCATCATTAATGAGAGGGTGCTAAAGTTAGGTAAGGAAACACTCCTACAAAAAACATGTGCCATTCAAATGTAATAAGCAGTGTCACAAATATGTTCTAACTTCACTTTATGTGGACTTGACATTTGAATACTTTTAGAGATATTTCAATTACAATCAAACAAACTATGAATGATTATGGACAAAACACAGCTTTGGATTATGTGAATCAGTCTTCTTTTGGTCAGTTGCTTCATAGTTGGTCATTCCTAAATATATATAAAAACACAAACATCTGAGATAAACAGTCATTGTTGTGATCTGATTTACTCGTTAAGCTCATGAAAGTTTTATCCGTGTTATGATTGCAACCGTGTTTAATGTTATTACGGTGCATTCATATAAATAAGCAGTTTTTGTTGCTTCATGATGTTTCAGTTTTGGTGAAAATGGATGGCTGCCACACATTAGTTGATTCACATTACTTTTTAAATTTCCAGACAAGGAGCTGCAGACGTTAAGAGGAGAGAATCGGAGGAACATGCTGATGTCAGTCTCTCTGCTGGTCATCAGTGCTCTCTTCTACTTTGTGTTTTTCTACAATGACGAGGACTCATGATACTAAATGCTGTCATAAAGGGACTTTTTGCTCTTAAAAGCCTCGGGACAGTGCTGTGATGAGGTCATGATTGTGTACACACTTTCTGTGTTGAGGAAACTCCTCTGTTCTGCCTCTAGATGGCATCATTGTCTTAAACTTTTCTGGTCGTCATACTTTATTCATCCTGAGCCGTCAGAACCCACCACAGCTTCTTGGACCAACACATATGATAATTGTGAAGTGAGCCATCAGTTTTGTATTTTCCTCAGCATGTACACTTGTAATTTTTTTTATCTATATACAACATTTTGTCACATAAATAACTTATCAAATATAAAGTTAATGCCACAAATAAACACCAAAGTAATAATGCTTTTATACAATATGTCAAACTAAATTGTGCCGATTTAAGTCTGATTTAGCTTTTCAGTCACATGTAAACACGTGTGTGATAACGGAGGTTGCATGTCACGTGTCAAAGTTAATGATAGAAATATTTGATACAGAATGTTTTCTTGTTACATTGAATAAAACCTAAAGAATGCCATTTTTTGTTTTAATACTCATGCTGGCCATGCTGACCTTTCACTTATAATGCAAAACACATGCACAAATCTCTCTCTTTCTTTTTTTAAAAAAACCATATGAAGGTCGGAGAAGAATTGGGTTTGGTCTTAGAACTGATTTGTTTATATGTTAGTTGGTATTATATATTTTTTTCATTTATAAATTAAACTTTACAATTTTTGGAGGCTTATTTATCGTGTTGTGTGTTTGTATTGTCTTGGTTACTATGTGCACTGCAGTGGATTAGTATTAAAACACATTTATGTAAAATGATTTTACATATAGAGTTTATTCCATAACTGCTAGCTTTAAAAGAGGTCCATTGTCACAGTGGGATGGTTTTTAAGTGAGATGTATCTTTTCTTCCATCGAAACTAGAGCACAAATAGTATAATGGAAGACTGAAGGACATCACCACTCAGTGGGGGAGATGTGCTCTGATCACAAAGTGTATTGTTTGACACCCGATGAAGAGGAGGCGTTATTCCTCACCCAGTGACACAGCCATGGTGTCTGAGGGGCTGTCTGAGGACAAGTCATCTGAAAGCCTTCTCTCTGTTTTGAGTATAAATAATTGAATAATGATCCGAATTATATGAAATTATTCTTGTAAAGACATCATTAGCAAGACCCAAATAGAATTAGGGTGACATGATGACTGGTTCTTTCAACTATTTTATTTTCTTGACTCTCCTGTCCCTAATTGATCTCATTTTAACTAATGTTCCCTATAAATACTCATCTTTGGGAGTATTTGCAAATGATTTGAGTGATCACTGTGTTGTAGCCACAATTAGGGACACTAAGGTCCAAAAGGTTAAACCTCGCATTATCATTAAGAGAGACAAAAAACATTTTGTGGAGCAAGGTTTTGTTCATGATCTGTTTGGGTTTGATTGGGGGAAAATCGATTTGTGTGCAGATGTAGAAACTGCATGGTCTTATTTGTATCTTGGTTTTATGGAGATCATTGATAGACATGCACCCCTGTGTAAATTTAGAATAAAGGGACGAGACAATCCTTGGTTTTCTGCTGAACTGTCCAGTCTCCTTCATGAGAGAAACAAGGCCTGGGCAAAGGCTAGGAAATCAGGCTCAGAGGTAGAATGGCTGCGTTTTAGGCAGCTAAGGAATAGCTTCACTTCAAATATCAAAAGTGCTAAATCAAAGTACTATCTGTCAGTAACCACAAAGAATCTGAATAATCCTAGGACATTTTGGAAAGCCATAAAATCGATTTCCACCAGTGAGATCCGTAATGAGCTACCTCCGTGCATTACCACAGCATCTGGCTCTATATCAGACAGGGCTACTATGCTAAATTGCTTTAATGAGCATTTTGTGTCCTGTGGTTCTCTATTTGATTCTGTCACTAACTCTGTTTCTGTGAACACTACAGTCTGTGACTCTGAAAAACTTGTTTTGGAAAACCCTTTTAGTTTTACTCCTTTTACTGTTGATGTTGTTCGTGAATCTTTAACCAAGTTAGATCCTAAGAAACCGGCTGGCCCGGACAACGTAGAACCTTTCTTTTTAAAGATAGCTGCAGATTTTATTGCTCTTCCTCTCACTACTCTTTTTAACCTCTCCCTCAGCAGAAACACAATTCCAATATTGTGGAAGTCTGCTTATGTCTTGCCTCTACTAAAAGGAGGGGAGGCAACTATTTTAAATAACTATAGGCCCATCTCTAAATTGTCAGTTCTGGCTAAGGTTCTTGAACGCCTAGTGAGTGAACAGGTAAAGGAGTTTTTATGTAACAATGATATCCTGTCTAAACATCAGTCAGGCTTCAGAAAGCAACACAGCACCATCACTGCCACAATGAAAGAGGTGAATGACATTAGGAGTATTTTAGATAATAAGCAGAGTTGTGCAGCTCTATTTATTGACCTGTCCAAAGCGTTTGATACCGTCGATCATCGCATCTTAAAGCAGAGGCTGGTCAGTATTGGCATATCCAGCCATGCAGTGGGGTGGTTTGTGAACTACCTCTCTGAAAGGTCCCAATGTGTTCACTTTGATGGGCTGTCTTCTGAGTGGTTAAACATTACTAATGGTGTTCCTCAAGGTTCTGTTTTAGGTCCACTTTTATTCTCCATATATATCAACAGTTTAGGTGAAAATGTGGATGAAGCTACTTTACATTTTTATGCGGATGATAACGTGATGTATTGTGCAGGTCCCTCCATTCAGGAGGCTGGTGTTAAATTACAGGCTGATTTTAATATTATTCAGACTCAGCTCTCTGAGCTTAAGCTTCTTTTAAATGTGGATAAAACCAAGGTAATGCTCTTTTCTAAAGCTAAAAATACACCAGAGATTGCTTTGGATATTGTAACTACGCAAGGAATACAACTTGAAGTGGTTACCTGTTACAAATACCTTGGTATCTGGCTTGATGATTGTCTTACTTTTAAACTTCAGGTCATTAATCTGCTTAAAAAGCTGAGGGTTAGACTAGGTTTCTTTTTCAGAAACAAGTCCTGTTTCTCACTTGAAGCCAGGAAAAGGCTCTGTGACCTTTTGACCTGTGCTGGACTATGGTGATCTGATCTATATGAATGCACCTGCCCATTGCCTGGTCAAGTTAGATGCCGCCTATCACAGTGCACTGAGATGTGTTACTAACTGTAAAGCACTCACTCATCACTGTACCCTGTATGCCAGGGCAGGTATGCCATCACTAACTGTAAGGAGGCTCAGTCACTGGTACATGTTCATCTATAAAGCCATGTTAGGTAAACTACCTTTTTATATCTGCTCTCTGATCTCTCGACGAATTGAAAGTACGTATTGCCTGAGATCTCATGATGTTGTTTTATTAAATGTGCCAAGTGCTAGGACTGTCTTAGGGAAGAAAGCTTTTAGTTGTGCAGCTCCACTAACTTGGAACAGTCTGCAAACATGTTTCAAACTGAGCACTTTGGTTCCCCTGCATCATTTTAAAACTGGGCTGGGTGACATGCTGTGTGATGCTCATGGTACCTGTCACTGTGAATAGAGTTTGTAAACTGTACCCTGTACATTATGTTGTATGTCATCCTTATTGTTGTTCTGTTGTTTGTATGTTACATGTGTAACTAATGTCCTGCAGGTCACCCTGAAAAAGAGATCTTTTGATCTCAAGGGGCTTCACCTGGTTAAATAAAGGCTACAAACAAACAAGGTGTATATCAGTATGTAGTGTTTCTACTTTAAAGAGTCCTCTCCTGCTCATGTTCAGGTGTATATCAGTATGTAGTGTCTCTACTTTAAAGAGTCCTCTCCTGCTGATGTTCAGGTGTATATCAGTATATAGTGTCTCTACTTTAAAGAGTCCTCTCCTGCTGATGTTCAGGTGTATA